AAATCACTAAGTATAACGTGAGGGAGGAAGAAATTAACCAATGTAATCTCTCAAGCATCTAATAGTATAAAGTTATTAGTATCAATGTTGTCTTGCAATTACATTAGCATCAAGGCTCTCAGTCATATACAAAATATCACTGTCCGTCAACACTTTGGTCGTAATAGTAACAAAACGTAAGTTAGATTACAGTATGACAATTCAGGTATAAACGGATGTCTTGCATAGTAGTCTAGTAGCGGCTTTCTAATCTCGAATTCTGTATTTAAGGATCATGCTGGGCTTTCGGCGCAGTAGAAGCGATGTCAGATCGCATCTGCATTGCATCAAATGGAAAGACACAGGTAGGAGCATGTTTCAAGAGAACTCTACGAGAAGAATATATAGACAGTAGTGTAAATGACATTTTAGGTTACTCTTTCTGCTGATGATCTGCTCAGTTGCTGCAAAACTTGTGGTTTCGGGTAAGGTTGCCATTATAATCTGTTCAAAATTGTCCATGCTCGGCTGCTGTTGAATTTGGCATTTCAAACACTTGCGCTGAAGTGGTCTGAGTAGTCGGCTAAAAATGTTATAAATCTTTATGGCTAACGTTGATGCTCGACGTTCACGCCTTAGCCGGAGCCTAAAAAGTCGAAGCCGCGGGTAATCTGTTCTCTCAGACGTCAACAACAAGACATATGATATAATTTCATTGGAGAACTAGTAAAAAATATCACCGAGTTCTGGTGTGACTAAATATTGACTAAAAGGCAGCTCAACGAGATTTAAACAGACCATCTGTTCCAGTACTGTCTGTGCCTCGGTCGTTTCTGAATCTGCCCCCGTTACCTGGTCTTATGTCCAAATCCACAGGCAGGAAACTTTATGCAGCTGCTTTGCATTTCACTGCATATCTCATCTTATCACTGCTTTCCTCCAAGTTCATGAGTTTGATGAATTACGCTGGTGAAGAAGAGAATCAGTCTTCAAGGTGGTGATCGAGAAAGATCATGTTTGTGCTATTGCAGACAAAACAGCA